ATCAGTATAGAACTAATGGGGCAATTAAGGACCGAAAGTATATCAAAATAGAAATTAACAAATAACCATCACAGTTATTTTTTAAATGCTTAACTAAGTACAAGTAGAATAAATGTTCTCAAATAATGTAATTTCTTAATAAATTCAACAAAATGCCATGTATTTTTTTTTTTAATTGTAACAGTCCTACTCCTCAGTTTTTAAATAAGGTGACTTGTTTTCTAACTGTTAGCTTCTGGGTTAGTGGAAAAAATTTGATTTTTCTTTGTAAAAGTTAATTTCAAATCAGTCTATTGAGCGAGAAATGATAAAAAGTGACGGGTGTCCATATGCTACTTACACACATCTAGAAAAATGTTTGACTTTTAGGTTCTAATAACACTGTTGGTGGTGGTGGTGGTTGTGGTAGTAGTGGTAATTTTGGAAGGAAGGAAATGTAATTACAATTTAAAGAGAGATGATGAGTGATATTTTAAATTTAACCAGTTTGAATTTTTTATCTGTTCAGAATTTCTTGCTACAAAACTTAACTTTTAAGATGTTAATAAATTATTAATAAATTATATTAATAGTATCAGTAATATAGTCTATATATCACATTAAATTTAACTAATGACTAATTTGACCCATTGGAACAACCACTAAGGACACTATAATAGTAAGCTATCTTACATTTTTTCTAACATATTTATCAATAAGGTAACGAGTAATCTAGTTGTAAACTGTGGTAAAAATCACACCTACTCTTCATAAGAAATCCCCTCATAAATATATTTCTGAGAAACTTAAATTTATATGGCATTTCAAAAAAAATTGAATAGCTTTTCTAATAAGGTGAAACATGAAATTATACCCAGAAAGCCAATAAAGTAGGCAGTTTAAAAAGTACTGGGGCCCATCACTGAGTTCAGTGTAAAAAGTACAATGGCCTGCCACTGAGGCAGTTTACAGTGGGCCATCATTGTCCTTGAAACAGTTCAAAAAAGAGGCAAAATGTCTGTGAAGGTGCTTCAATTTTGAGTACACATAAAATGCTCTCAAGGTATGTCACTGGGATCCTCTCCAAAATAGGCTAGAATTAACCAAATCCAAGAGAGCTGATGTTGGCTGCAAAGATAGAATCTGACTGGCAATCAATGTGTGTTTCCATAGACTAACTTAGCTAATTAATTTCTTGAAATGACAGCAATGTGGAATCTGATTTATTATACCAAACAGTGCCTTTTAAGGTAGAAAAGCACAATATTCAACAAACTTACTTTCAACGTGTATTTTTAAAATAACAACTGGCCAGGCACTGTGGCTCACACCTGTAATCCCAGCACTTTGGGAAACCGAGGAGGGGGAGTCACCTGAGGTTGGGAGTTCAAGGGCAGTCTGACCAACATGCAGAAACCCTGTCTCTACTAAAATTACAAAATTAGCCAGGCGTGGTGGTACATGCCGGGAATCCCAGCTACTTGGGAGGCTGAGGCAGGAGAATTGCTTGAACTGGGAAGGCAGAAGTTGTGGTGAGCCGAGATTGTGCCATTGTACTTCAGTCTGGGCAACAAGAGTGAAACTCCATCTCAAAAATTAAATAAATAAATAAAAACTAAAATAACAACTATTGGACACTCTTACTATTTTATACTTCTGTTTTTTGTTTCCTTATTTTTAAAATTTAATTACACTTAGCATCTTTGCTTTCTATTCCTATTCGCATGTCAGCCTTTCATCAATGTAGTGTTTGCTCATCTAAAATAATTAGTTTACATTTGTTTTCCATAAGCCTGTGATGACAAACTCCATCAGGTTTGTTTTCTTTTGTTTTGTTCTTGATACAGGGTCTCACTGTGTCACCCAAGCTGGAGTACAGTAGCAGGATCTTGGCCTACTGTAACCTCCACCTCCTGGGCTCAAGCGATTCTTATGCTTTAGCCTTCTGAGTGGCAGGGATCACAGGCACCCACCACCATGCCCGGCTAATTTTTACATTTTTAGTTGAGATAAAGTTTTGCTATTTGCCCAGGTTCATCTCAAACGCCTGAGCTTCAGTGATCTGCCTGCCTCAGCCTCCCAAAGTTGCTGGGGTTACAGGTGTGAGCCACCATTCCTGGCCAGATTTTTTTTTTAACATAAAAACTTTATTTTGTCTTTTTTGATAGAATACAGTTTCACTCTGTACATTTATTCTCAGTACACTGAGGATCATAGGCCACTGTCATGGCTTCTACTGTTGCCACTGAAAATCAGCCTGTAAGTCTAACTGCATTTTTTATTTCAATATAGATACTGGTCTCTGTGTTCTTCAGTGTCTAACTGCATTTTTTATTTCAATATAGATACTGGTCTCTGTGTTCTTCAGTGGCTTTAGACATTTCTGTTTGTCTGAGATGTTTAACAGGTTCACTGTGATTTGTACAAATGTGGATTTCTTTACATTTAATCTGTTGGGGCTCTTTGGCATTAATAAATTTGAGCTTTTGTGTCTTTTAACAATTCCAAACTTTTAACCATTATAGCAGCAAGTATTTCCTCTTCCCCATTTTCTTGATTGCCTCAGTATGAAACACTGGTTAAATCCATATTTAAACTTTCTGCTTTTTTTATATTTATCTTTTAATGTATCATTCAAAGTTTCTTCCCTTTATCTCTGTATTGTATTGAGGAAAATTACTTTACTTACATTTCTGTTTTATTTCTAATTCATATAAAGTTTGGAAATTTAATAAGAATGTATCCCGGATAGATATTTAAAACAAAAGCGATGGAAATAAGTTCATTAGCTGCCACAGCATTGTGGCTTGTCAGTTCCTTCTTCAGCTTTGACCTATTATTTTTAGTTTCCTTAAGATATGTATTTTGCATATTATTATATTTCATAAAATATTAAAATAATAAAACTATGTAAATGAAGTCATGATTGGATCATGATCTTTGTACAATCTTTCAGTTTTTGACTCTTAAAAAAAGAGCCATGATGTTTCTTCTATATTGCCTGTTTGTAACCTTTTCCACTTGGTGGCAGGAGGCATTATTATGGAAATAGTCTCAAGAAGTCCTGGATTTGAACATAATAGTTATGAGTTTCCATCATATCTGCTTACTCTCTGAAACATTTATGAGTGCATTTAACTGCATGCAACAAAAACTTGACTCTCGAAGCTTAACTAAACATTGGTTTTCCCACAGAATCAGTCTAAAGATATATTTTTCAGGAACAATAAGGTGTCTCCTCCTCAATGTCCTTTTGGCCTCAGTCCCCTTCTATCATTTTGCCTTGCTGTTCTTAACATATGAATTTAATGATTGTGTAGACATCGCAAGGTATTTGCAATGTCCCCTGTCCCAGATACACAGCACAGGCAGGCACAGATAATAGAGAAACAAGCAGTAGATAAAGTAAATATAAAGGACAATTTATTTGACATTCCCTTGTTGGTGGTGAAAAATACCTGTGTATAAAGGATGATTACTTTGGTTGCAATGTTATTCAGCACTAGGATTCTCTATTTACAAATACATGTGTAGAAAAATAAAAATGTATTTAAACACTCTACTAAAAGGTTTAGATTTTGAGAATTAATTCTCAAACAAGATGATGTAAGTGCATTTTATTCTAATTTTTCCCTTTGCAGAAGCCACATGAAGTGATGTCTAAGTTCTGTTATTTGAGTATGTAAAAGGATTTAGTAATGTCTGAAGAATGATGAAAAAATAATTTATTGCACAACTGCAACTACTAGCTTGCTCAGGAAAATACATATGAAGCCCTTTATTTTAGTCTTCCAAGTCTCTCTTATTAATGAAAATCATTTTCAGTGTGCTCTTCATATGGATTTAAAACCGGTTGTTCAGTTTACCAAAATTATTAAGGTATTCTCATGACTCCAGGTTTGCAATCATCTTATACACTTTGTCTTACAGAGGGAAAGATGATGTAAGGTTTCTTTTTAAGAATAGACCTCAGCTGTTGAAATGAATAAATATAACTGCGAAATATGAACATGTGCACAGACTGTCTCAATCATGAATTGGTTGTCACAGATACAATGTTCAGCCCAGAGGCACATGAGGTTCTTTTTAAAAAACAAGCACTTTTCTATATAACAGCCAAGTACACAATAATATTGTAGACATTTCCAATTTCTTTAAAATCAGATAATATACATTTTGATAATTTAGTGGCATGCCTTTACTATTTTAAATTGTTCATCAGTATTTTCTTAAATAATAACACATATCACAATTGGTTTCTGCTTCTCTGTGTCTTTACAAAGATGAAACAATTTCTCTTATGGTGAGAACCATTACTTTAGCATCTCCCAAGAAATATTTCAGACATGGGATATTTTTCTTGAAGTCAGCAATATACAAATCTACATGAGTAACTTACATGTTATGTACTATCTACATTTCTATCAGATATGAAGGAAATACATTGTTCCTAAACTTCCAAAACATTTTTATTTGGCATAGTTAAGTACCACAACCTACTGTTCCTATTGTCTGAAAATAAACAGCACTAGAGCTGCTTATGTGATTCTTATCTTAATAATAATATCTGCAAAATTACTGTTTGGTGAAGCATAAAAAATCACATATCTTAAGGTAAACATTGAAACATAAATGCTTTTCTGTGTATCATGTAACTCACTTCACACACCATACCATGGGAAAACATCCCATGCTTGGCCAACAGGGCCTTCCAAACCCAAGAATCTCAGCAAAGGGTCATTTATTATGTAAAAGATCACATGCTTTTTCCTGAAGTGTGCATGACATCTTAATTTGCACAAGGTTTTTTCAAGTAATTAAACTTGTTAATTTTAACAATCTTTGGGATTATTCAGGAACTCTCTATATACACCAGTAATGGAACAATTTTTATTATCGTACATATCTGAATGAACATTCAGCTGGCAGAGTGTTTTATTCATACATGACTTTCCATTTTGTCCATATGGCCCTTGAAAAGAAACAGAATTGCTGGGACTTCCAGAAAATGTTGAACTCACCATGCGAGACGCAAGCGGTAGCTCCACAAGTGGGGGTGTTGCATCCTCCACCCTTTGCATATGCAATCTGGATCAAGGTTAGAAAGCTAATTAAAATTTCTCCTGGGGCCATGCACCAGAGGAAAATGGAAGCATACCTAGAGAAAAGAGGAAAATGGCAAAATAAAAACAAAACAAAATGATAAAAATCTCTATCCCTGTCTATCACACAACAGGCAGAGGAAAGGAAATACGTTTGTAACCAAAATTCATTGAAAATTATAAGATTATGTCAACAGTCAAAATGCAATGAACAATAAACACAGTTCCCAGAACAAACAAAGCTGATGTGTCCTACAATTTCATGTCTGGTTGATGGACATAGCTGGTAGATATGTTTTAGGTGGTTGAAGGGAGAGAAGTCTTGACTATCAATACAAAGAAAATACTGAAGGGAAAACTGGACCCAATCTATTTTGGCTGATAATTTGGGGTATTTTAATATCACATAACTATCAAACACAATGCCTCAATCAAGTCACAGTGGTTTTCTCTAGTATATCTTTTCCATTTGTTATTTTCTCAAATTATATTCAGAAGGAAAAAATTCAGTGATGTGTTACATTCTAAGATGCAATTATATCAGCTTAATAATTATTCAAATATTCTAGTACATAAAGTTTTATGATAGAGATTTTTATGTGTACATGTAGTATAATTCCTGACTGCAATTATTTCTCAATTTTAAAAACATATTTCTCTACTGATTACAGTTATTCCCAATCACCATAATGCTTTCACAGCAATAACTGGACTAATATTACATGTATTCATAAATTTGCTTCATCATTCAAGACTGATTGATATAAAGCTCAGTGTATTTCATGTTTAGTTAGGGACAGGTACGCCTCAATGCAGATGGATGCATTGATTGAACACTTCAATTTAAGTCACATTATCATTCTACATGTGCAGGCAGCACTGGCTCACTGTCCACAGAACTCAGCTCTGGTTTTGCTCAGCACACAACTTGACTTTACCTTCCCCAGCTTTCATTGCTGACTGTCTGTGACAAAGCATAGCCAGTGACTGGGAGACATGGTGAGAGGTGCATCTTCCATGCTTGGCCCATCCAAACTCCCACTCCTCTTCCTTTTTACTGGTTGGGATGGAAATGATTCGCAAGATTTTTTGTGAATTATTACAGAATGGGGCACTACAATGTGAATCAAAATTAAACCTTTAATGCATCAAGTCATGGATAGTTAGGATTTGTCTTTTACAGCTGATAGTATTAGGTAAGTCAATTAAGCCCCTTAAATATTTTTTTGACCACATCTACTCCCTTTTCCCCACAGAGGCAGCGATTCTAATGAACTGAGTATATATATGCTTTGTATGTTTCCTTCTAAATGCATACATTTAAAGACTAATTTCCTTCAGTGCATTATACAAACTGAATTTCATTTCTTATTTGCTTTCAGTTAGTACTCTTTTCTTCATTTTAATTTATTGTTAATTGACAAATAGTAACTGTATATAGGGTACAATGTGATGTTTTAATAGATGTTTACATTGTGGAATGTTGAAACAAACTAATAAATTCATTACCTTACATTATTATCATTTTTCTGTAGGGAAATATATATGTATGTATATATATATATATATATACACACACACACACATATTCTGTTAGCAGTTTTGGAATATAGAGTACACTGTTACTTATTATAGTCACTGTCCTGTGCAATTCTACTAAAGTTGATTCCTCCTAAGTGAAATTTTGTATGGAAAGACAAATATCAGATCATCTCACATGTCTGTGGAGTCTACAAAAGCAGAACTCACGGACATAGAGAGCAGAATGGCGGTTGCCAGAGGATAGTATTTGGGGTGGGTCGAGAAGAAGAGAGGTTGGGCACTCCTAAAATTGATCCGTGTTGCTGGGTGCACAGCTTGAGCATCAATTTTCAGCACTGTTTAGTGCCCACAATGTGTGTCTTCCACATTTCACTGTACCTCCTCAGTGATAGACTTCCAAATGGCCTCAAATTCCCCTCTAAGTAATACTAAAACAAATACCTTCTGTGTGTCCCATGATGAGCCTCTGCTAGAGTTTCTAGGGGTTGCACACCCAGGAGCAGGATTGCTGGGTCATGTGAAATACAGGTATTTAACTAAGCAATCTGAGATGCTGTTCAATGGCTGCAGCAGGTACTTTTCCATCAGCAAGAGGCTTTCTCCATCCCTGCATCCTCTAGCTTCATAACATATTTGCCAGTGTAATAAGTGTGAAGTGAGTTGACATTATTCTTTTAATTTACATGTTTCTAGATACTGAGGCTGAGTAGTTTTGTATGTGCTTGCCATTCTTAAGGTTCTATTTATACTAATTGCCTATTTACATCTCTGGGCTGTTTTTTCATAGAGGTTTTTCTCTCGATATTTTATTGTTTCCTAAAATTATTTTATTCTAGATAATGTTTTCTTATGTTTTAACATTGCAAGTATCTTTACCAAAGTTATCCTATGGTTGTAAAGATACTAAAAGCACAATTTGAGAATATTACACATGTCAATAATTCTCCTGCATTAGAAACAAGCTAAAGTAATTATAATTGTAAAAGGATGTACTACCTGGACTCACTTCCTCCCACTCCAGTTGTATTTATTTTAATAAGTAGAGATGCTTTGGGTTAAATAAATTTCTAACACCTCATATAAGGAAATAATAACTTATATGATCAACTTGTCTAAATAAATGTTTTTTACAAAAACTTTCTTCCACAAAGATTAAGTAGTCACCTTTAGTGATATTAGTGATTTTTGTGGCAAAAGGCCTAACAGATGATATGTGGATAATTCTACTTATGATACATTCTGTTACAGTATATTTTGAAATTGAGTTAGATAAGAGTTATTTGCTTTGTAAAATTTATTCTAATAAAATTATACCTATATGATTTTAGGGAAGTTGGTTTTTTAGATCCAAAATTTTCAAATGTTGACGTTGTATTTATGTTTAACAATTTAGTTGATTAACCAGTTTCATTTTACTTTTTAAACTGTAAGTTAAGTTTGGACTAATGATAATTCCATTTCAGGAATGAAATTTATCATCACCAAACTATTGTTTTAAAATGTATTTTCAGACAATGTGGCCAGTTCAGCCCAATAATCAGTACTTCTAAAAAAAGTTCAAGGAACAAGCTAATGGCCTTTCAGCAGTGAGCTAATGCGTACATTATTCACATCTTTTAGCTCTTGTTTTTCTTTGTTGAGAATCTAATAGCACAGGTTGGGAGCAGCAGGTTTAAACACAAGCTTGAACCTACTTGCTACCTGAAGTGTGGCATCCCCTTGCTTTTTGTGCTTTATTTCCACTTTGGTTAAATGGGAGCAATGAAACTTCTCATATTAAATATCGGAAAGGAACCAACTGTGGAATGTGCATGATATACTTAGCAGAGAATCAAATATACAATTCCATTGTTCATATTTCAAAAATATTCTCTCATTTCAAAGTCTGGAAATTTCCCACTTTCCTAATCAATTCTTTCTTGATTCCTTTAGTTTATAAAGCCCTCTCTCCTTCCTCAAAATTTTTGCAGCATAGATATGATTCACAGAAATTTTAGCACTTGATTATACTCTATAATCTATTATTTTAAAAATATTTTATGGACATTAATTCTGTCTCATTAAACACAAAACAAGCTGCTAAAGATAGAGATCACTTACTATAATTTTCTTGTCTTGTCTTAGCCACAGTGGAGGTGGAGCCAGTGAAGACTTTTGACAAGCTCATTGTTCTTTACAAAGAATAGCAATTTAAAATAATTGAAGGGATCATGTGTTTTACAGTGGCTATTATTTCATGAAGTTTTAAAAGAAGGTTTTGTGTGGTCTTTTATGAGTGTGAATATCAAGGCCTGGGCTTATGATCAAATAAATATCCTTAAGGTAGCATTGTAGTTTCTTACTGACCTAAAAGATGCCTAAAATTAATTCTGACCCCTCCTCAGTTTGTCATATGACAATCTCTTGTGATAAAGGCATATATTCATGAGCAAATTAAATGTCCAACAGAGTACTAAAGGCTGAGTTTAGTTCAAAATGTATTTAAAATAAATGTCCTATTGATTTATTCAGTGTAAATCAACTATATATTACTGTCTCTGAACTGCCCAGTGTAAGTGCCTTAAACAGCCTAAACTGAACATCTTCAAAGTTTCTTGCAGAGATCTCCTTTCCTCTTTGGGAAGAGGAGTTTTTCTTTTCATCAAAGTCTTTGAAATTGGAGGAGAAGGAAATGGATGAACACAAGAAGGTTAGATGGCATGAGAGATCAGATGGCATAGTCTAATCCATCAAGTAATTATGTCAATAATTAAAATTCTATTTGTTTTAAGAGTTAAATAAGAAACAGTCATGTGAAAATAAGGAATATTAACTGTGTACTGGGGGTGAAGGAAATAAGGAATATAAACTGAGTGCTGGGAGTGAAGAAACTTCCCAGAGTAATTGACAATAGAGTTGTTAAGCAAAAGGTGAGGTGAAATTAGCAGATGTAGGAATGGAAAACAGGAGGCTGGGATAAGGGAGGAGTGCATTCCAGGGAGTGAAAAGTGTCTGTAAATGTCCTGGGGCATGTGGGGGCATAGACATTAATATCTTTTTCCTGAGTTATTCTACTTTGATAAACAATTTCCTTTAGATAGATAGACAGATGATGATAGACAGATGATACATAGATAGATAGATAGATGATAGATAGATAGATAAACAAAATATATTTGCTCTAAAATGTTATGTTTATAGGACTGCTTCTTTAAATTTTGTTTAACCAAGCCTTTGACCGGAATCATGATTTCCATTTACCGTATTTCTCAAATATGTGAAAGTTCTCCGTCCTCTATATTAAAAATTAAGAAAAGGAATGTAACCTACTACATAAAATTCTACTTATTAAACAATTACAACTGGGAAAATTATATATCCCAATTTTAAGCCTAAATATTCCTAAGCCCCAACTCTGTACCATACTGACTGAAGAAATGACACTAGGAAAAGTAATACATCAGGTAGATACAGACATTATTACATCAGGCCTAATTGACTGCTATTTGGGGGCCAATCATATAAGACATACTA